GTACTGCAGGGATATTGTGGGCCCCATGGTGTTTTAATGGCACTTTATGTGTTGAAATGTAAATCCTGCCAGGGGTGAAATATATGTTCTCTGCTGCACCCATATTCTTTTTTCCAGTGATCACTAAAGGGTATCTTTTAATTTTCCTTCACAGATTGATTTTGATTTGGAGTCCTTATTAGAAAGAAAAGAGGAGGAAAAGGAAGAGCTGATGGAATGGTGGAAGATGATGTCCCAGACATTGAATTTTTGAGAAAACAAAAACGACGTTCTATTAATTTATATGTTCAGTTGGTATGCAGTACTGTGGACTATATATCTATAGGAATGGATTTATATAAAATGCATATTTATTGCCCCAATGCCGGTCATAAACCCATTCCTATAGATACTAGACAATGTGTGATTGTGATCTTTCAGCCTCTGTTTTCTTTGTTTTTGTGATAATCTGATTATGTACCTGCACTCTTTAGAAATGCTAAACTCTAAGCTAGGGTTACTATAGAACTTGGCACAACAATTCTGTGACAACGTCTGAGTGACAGCTTCAGTTTTCTACATAATGTAAGAGTCTATATGATGGCCGTTTCAGTAGAAATGCAATATTCTATGCCCAAGCCATGTGTTGTAAAATATATTCTAGTTTACACAATAATATAGCACAGCTGTTGCCAAAAATATCTTGGCAGTATGTATGTAGAAATGGGCCCTGGAAGAGGAAACGTATAACTGTAATGGTTGAGTCGCGTTGTTTATATTTTATTTTCTTCCGACTGTGAATGACGTCATTATACTGCCTCAAAAAATGAGCATTTCATTACCAGATGACACTGTGGACTTATCCTAATATACAGTCGAAAAACACAAGCATATGTTCTGTAACAAGGACACTCCACTGTAGTCCAGGTAAGTCAAGGAAACACAGTTTATTGAAAGGGCAAACACAAAATAGCTTGCTACAGCAACATAAGACAGTCCTTGTTATGGCTCTGTAGCTTTCCTCAGCTACAAGACACTCACGCTGCTCACCCCTCGTGAGCCCTCACTCTGCTCTCTTAGCAGACTGTACCGCAGGTCCTCGGGTCACCGACCTTCCTGACCTCTCCCAGCCACCCCTGGCTGTTCCGTGTGCGTCTAGCATGCACCCGAGGTGGTCTGTGTCCGTGTGCTCCCTGCACACACACAACTCCAACACTCCCCAGGGTGGAGCTCTCCTGACTCACAGGTGGGGCCCTGAACACATCCCAGCACACTCTTCATGAAGGATGTACACAGGTGCACAATCAGGTGCTGGTCACTACCAAAGCATGGACCCAGGAATGGAGATTTCATCCCACCCAGAGCTCTAAGAAATCTCCTGGCTCCAGGATCCCAACTATGATCCAGACAACCTGGAAATAACTGAAAAGCCAGTTCTCTCCTGGTACACGTACTGTCTTCCTGGAGCCACTCAGCCCCTCTGGCTGAGAACCCTGGGTGACTTTGAGGCCACCTAACACCGTGGTATTGGCTTACACTGCCACAGTTCATACTGGGATAGATTATATATGTAATGCAGCTGTTGTTGAGCAAGGCTTGCTGATGGGAGCAGTATCAAAATACAAGATGACTAAAGGCAACGTAGATAGGCTTATTTAATAATGTCGCCCAAGGAGTAATGGTATGCAGCACATTGGGTCAGTGTTAGCACTGAGTCCCTGCAGTACTGAGGTCTTTGGTTCAACTCTGTCTGCATAGAAGATATGTTTTTCTTTTGCTTGTGTGGTTCTCCTTCTAAAACTGCAAAACCTACTTGTAAGTTACCTGGGTTCTGCCCAAACTGGACCTGAATAGTGTGTTGTTTTCTGGCCTTTGAATTGTAAGCTCTATGGGGGCAGGAATAATTCTATGTACTTTGTAAGGCTTTGGAGGATATGTTAATGTGTTCTACATCAATGGATAAGAAACCCACAGTGACCTATCAGAAATTATTCATTAGTCTGACCACTATTGCTGGAGTGCAGAATGCAGGTCCAATCGGTAGTTATCAGTGTCAAGATTTTAAAGAACATATTTTATGTAAATTACATATTTTAAACTTTGCACTGTAATTTAAATTAGAATTGATTAAAATGATGTTAAAAAACAACAGTGGTCTATCTATATTTTATGTCACATATAAAGATAGTTATGGTCAGAGCATCCTCTGCATATATTGACAAGGGTTAAGCACTAGAAGATGCTGAGTGTTGATTTATGATTGGTGGCTGTGGGTTACCACTACACACAACAGCTTATTGCACCATGATATTAAAGAAGGCAAATAGCGTGAATCCATCAACAGCAGACTGTATTAGAAACGTTAGTGCTCAGACTATATCATTGCTGTAATTACCTTATATTCTGTGTAATATAAAATATTCAGTCTATTACATTAAGATGTGTGAAAATTGTATACTAGTGGCATATCAGCATTTTGATACATATTACGTACTTTATACACTTGAAAAGCACAGCGACGTAGTATTGAACAACATCACAAGAACTGAATAATAATGTTACATCAACTTGATAAGGCAAACCTTCAAGCTACTGTATAATTCAATAAAAAGTTCCATGTCCCATTGTAAGTGTACACTGCCAGGTATTCTTGTTGCTAACACATCACAGGCATTCATTAAACTCCGACAATGTGTAATTAGATCTGTGTGATGAGTGATTTCATAAACCTGGAGATATCTTCATTCAGACCTCCATTCTGTAGCCTCATTGTCCATTAGCTGGTCTAGGTTGCATAGGGGCTATGTACAGGAAACAATTTGGGTCATCAATGTTGCCCAATATAGGCACATTTCCTCATGCTGGAATTAAGGTGCCTACAAGTGTCTGAGAATGTTCACATGGTCAATATGATTGTAGGCACTACTGCGTCCCTGACTGGTGCCTGCTTTGGGGAAAACTGTTCAGTCTGGACTTCCTTCAGCCTCAGTAAGCAAAAACATGGACGTTCACACAATGCAACTTGCATGTTTGTACAAAGAGCTTTCTTAGGAAAAACCCTTTGGCAGTTGGATTGTGCCTCTAGCTAATGTCTGCAGGCAAGTTCAACTTCTAGGCACCCTTTCAGGCTACTCAGTTGTCATTTAAGTGGGAGCTGGTTCTGTTCCCACACTTCTTCTGCAAGTATTCCCACAGTGTATTAATTTAGTAATACTAAAATATGTCACTGGCAGGGAATATGTTGTTTCCTACCAGGCTACCAGCTCTGCAAATGATCTACAGTAGCTGGGATTCGAACCATCTACAGAGACATGTAAGCAGTCATCGATACAGAGCTGGGTCTTATACTCAATCCACACTCACTCTTCTTCTCTCTCCTAATTTTATTGCTTTGCTTTTAAAAATGTTCAATATACTGCAACCCTAACAACTTGTTGTGATATCTGATTTAAGGCGTTCTTAATGATAAAAATATTGTTTTGAACACTGTAATACATTAGGCCTATTGTCAGAGGTGGATTATATAAAAGGCAGAAATGGGTGGTTGCTCAGGGCCCTGGGTTTCAGTGGAGCTAATGTGGTGCTACAATTAATTCAGCACTCTAGTGCTATTCACTTTGGCTTTGTAAATCTTTACACCTTGTATTTCAATAGAACAGGGGTAGCCAAACTCCGGCCCTCCAGCTGTGGTGAAACTACAAATCCCATGATGCATCTCTCTCTGGGAGTCATGTCTGTGGCTTTGAGAATCTTGCAATGCCTCATGGGATTCGTAGTTCCACCACAGCTGGAGGGCCGCAGTTTGGCTACCCCTGCAATAGAAGGTCAGCAGTAGTAGCCTTCATATTCCTCTACATGGCAGAAGCAAAACTTAGATGGCTATGTACAATGACCCTTATTTATGATCCCATTAAACTGGTAGGTGGTCCATGAGTAGTTTATCTCACCTCCCTTTTTTAAAGAGACATAAAAATAGGAAAGGAAAGCTATAAATGCAACTTTTTAATTAGTTAATGTGGACCTGTACTCAAAATTAAACCCCGCCTACATCCCAACATTTTTTGGGGTTTTGACAGAGCAGGTAAGGGTTTTTCCACTCTTTCTTTTGGGAGAGGAAATAGAAATAGGACCAATAGAGACAGAAACAGGGACCAAACCCTTTTTTGGTAAAAAGGTAAAGGGTACAACATCTGTCAGGTTATTTTCTGTGTTTTCCCGTCCAGGTGACAGATGATTCCTTCATTTTTTTTTCCTGCTGTCACAAGGACAAAAAAATGGGTAAAACCAACTATGACATAGACAGCAATCAAAACTTGACAGAAGTATTTGCTCATCAAATGTCTATTCAAACTAAAAAAGCGTTGAAGGCTTTAATGTAACTTTGTGTAAACAGAATTCCTGGGTAAATGAATAGTAACATAATATAACAAAATATGTTCTCTGAAGAATATGCTGCTCCTGCTTCCTTTCATTGCTGCTCCTTTTGTTAGGCCTAGTCAAGTGTTATCTGCTTAAGGGAAGCACCAGAGCTCAGACCGGCTCATCCTCATTTTTTGAGAACTGATTGTGTGACCAACTACCTAAGATATGTGGCCAGAGCTAAGGGGAGCTGGATCCATCCCAGCTAGGCCGGTAAAGTAAACCTATCCTATAGGAAATATACTGTATAGAAGGGTTTATTGTGCCTAAGCAGTACCCAGAAATATCTACATTTTAATCCTAAAAATTAGCAGTGCACTTTCTGACATGCTGTTGTCTTAATAATCACAATGCATACAAGTGCTACAATCCATTAACTATTACAAAATGTGATACCAGTGTAGCAACATTTAAAGGGCTATTCACAAAAAGATGAAGTCTAGGACAACATAGCTGATCTAGAAAGTGAGCTGAATTGGAGAATTTTTGCTAATCGGTTATTTTGGCCTAGACTGTTCACTTCTCCTGCCTTCTCCAAACTCTTCACCTTTTTGTGAAAAAAACCTAATTTAATGGGCTGGAATTGCTCAAATGTGAACCATTCACTTGGAAGACCTACGTGCACATGTGTTTGTTCATTTTCTAATGTATTCTTGAAGAAGGAGTCGAGGTTTATTCCGAGATGCATTGAACATTTTATAAAACCTTTACCTTTTATGGTAGAGGTTTTTAAAATCTGTACAGCTCTGTGCTTCCTAACTCCACCTGTGATAAACTATGTGGGCTCTTAAAGAAGAACTCCAGGATTTTTATGAATCAACCCTTACAGTGGAGCTACCCTCCGCACTGCAAAGGTTACCTGCCCGTTTTTCTCTAGGGGATGGATTAAAAAAGAAATACCTGGTCCTGTGGCCGTGACCGCTCACCTTCTCTCCCTCTGCTCCGGCTTGGTGTCCTCAGGTCTAATAGACCTTTATTAGACATGATGACATCCTTAGAATGCTGGAGCCAGAGGAGAAGAGGCTGAGGGGACAGGTCTAGCAGCCAGATGGGACTGAGGATCATTCTTCTTTTATTTCGCCCCCTAGACAAGCAGTTACCCCTTGCAGTGCAGGGTAGCTCCAGTGCAAGGGTTAATTTTTCAAAGTCCTGGATTTTATTCTTTAACAGAGTATACGCTGGCATGGAGTATGTATGTCTGACTAAGTATCCAAAGGATTATTTCCTGAAACTAGTGGATCAACAGTGAATAAAAAGATATGCTTAAAGAAGCACTGCATTTTAGAGAAAAAACGTTTATGTTGTTGAGCCATGTATGGTGTTTTCCCGGCTGTAAATTCAGGTGAGCAAATCTCATCTTCACTTCAACTAGAATTCATTTGCTTAACTGACACTGTAAGAGGCGTCC